CCACTAATCCATGTCATGTTGTTGTCGTCATCAGACTGGGATGGAACTAATGTTACAATAGTCACCTGCTCATTTAAACATTGTCATAATTGTAGTTATCTTCTTGGATTAATTTACTAGTATAATATTTTATGGGAAACTACTTTGCTTGAACAACATGGTTACTAACAATGAGAATGAACAATCCCATATATTTTAAGACAGGAAAAAATAGAAGCTGGAAATTTTGCTGTAGGAAAAGACCCTCCTACTTTGCTTCTAATTTGTAATGAAGTTCCTCTACGAGGAAAGAGTCAGGACATTTAGGGAGTCATTGCTTGACCTGTAGAAGTTCTAATACTTGATGGAGATGGTTGTTTTGTGAGTAAAAACTAAGCCTTAGTTCCAAGAAATACAGCCTTTCTACTGAAAAACAAGGCAGGGGCATTTTGCTTAGAAGCTCTTGGAGTAAAATCAAGAAGCACACTTCTGGATGCTTGATTCTTGTGTCACATGACTGGCATCCCTTCTGAGAATGAAAGTTCTATAATGCTCAAAGCACATGAGTAGTTAATGACTCAATGAAGCAAAATGTAACAGTATTCGTGAGTTATGCGTTATATTTCACTTGCACCATATTTAAAGAACTAACAGGGCACTCAAATTTAGAGAAGTAAAAATTTCCAAAAACATGACAAAGTCTCTGAGAAATGGGAAGTTTTCATGATGTAAATTTGGATTCTCAGGAGAGTGGTCCTGCACATATCTGCTGATATGACCATGGGATGCTTGGATAGAGCTAAATCTAAATGCATGATCTTGTTTGGGCATGAACTCTAACATTGCAGCTTCTTACCCTCATCCCCTGCTACCTGCTCACTGAAGAAACCAGGGATCTGTGCTTTTCAAAACTATCAAGGCAGCTAGCTCACTAGCTAGACAGATAGCCTAGACAAATTTGGAAAAATCCGGATTCTTTGAGAGATGCCCTCTCAAAGACAAGGAGGAAAGAGGTCAAAGAATACAACCTTCATAACTTCTGCCCCCCAAGTATGTGCTAACATATGAGAACATGCACCACATATACATATGGACCCACAGCCATCTGTGTACATGCATGCAGTGCGTACACATGTATAATTAAATAAAAAAGAACCATCTCGAGGTTTGTCTATTGGCATATGTACTAAAATTGGAAGATAGAGAGATTGGTTTGGGCCCAGTGCATGGATGATATACACATTTGTGAACCATTTCACATTCAAAGCCATTCTGGGTGATTCTCATAAATTACCTTGGAAAACCCAGGTGGATGTTTAATAATCAATTATGGGTAGCGACATTTAAGTAATTCTTTGAAATCAAATTTAGAAGATATTTTTGTTAAAATAGCTTACACCCAGTATATAAGCCATCATTGCTCTCTTGTTTTTTTTTTTTTTTTTTTTTTTTTTTTGGTTTTTTGAGACAAGGTTTCTCTGTGTAGCTTTGCGCCTTTCCTGGGACTTACTTGGTAGTCCAGGCTGGCCTCGAACTTACAGAGATCCGCCTGCCTCTGCCTCCCGAGTGCTGGGATTAAAGGCGTGCGCCACCACTGCCCGGCTCTCTTGTTGATTTTTAAGTATGTCTGGCACATTATACATGAACGATCTTGAGTCTCTTTTCTGTTCCTACACCTCAGTTATGGAGATGACAATGATTGTTCCATAGCTTTCAACATTTGGCATTCTCTTTTGGCACCTATCAAGATCCCCCATTTCCTTTCTTTATAATAACTTGGGTCAATTTAATAAAACATTTTAATTAAACTTGACTCTGCAATTACTAATTGAGAAATGTAATGACAATAGTTTTGATTTTGGCTAAAAGGACACTCTGAATTCTATAGCTGTTGTTTCATTTGATTCGCGGTCTGTTCAACCAGTGGTTTGCGTATTTTACATTATGTGTGTATTATTAACACTACTTTAAAATCAAGGTAATTTGTTTCTTTGAAATCTGGAGAAAAGCATTTGTGGACCAATAAAAGATATTTCAAGTGGATATAGTTCTGAAAAGTAAACATACATTGCTGGGCAGAGTCAGCCACTGTTACATCGGAGCAGATGGTGAACGTTTCTAGTCCCACAGCCCATGGCCCTTCCCTTCCTTGTCTTCTTCATACATTTCCTCCCCTTCCTCTACCCCTTCCTTCTTATTTTTCTCCTTTGACTCCACCTATTTCTGCCAAATCTTCTTTCTTTACTAATAGATCTTAAAAGATATCCTTGGCTCAGGACCACACAAAATTGAACCCACCATTATTTGATATGTGTATATCTCAGGAAATGATCTAGTTTACAATGCACATATAGACCTTGAAAGTCTGCAGTCAAGTTCTGATTTCTGTGATTTTTTCATCTTTATGTTGTGTCTTTCATACGTATTTGAACCATAGCATGTATTAAAACTCTGTAAGTTCTGGTGTTTTGAGGAACTCCGTGTATGAGCAACACCCACCCCCCCCCACCATGCAAAGTATAGTATGGAATTCCCACTGACTTCCAATGTCATCTCAGCTTTTGCCTGTGTTCTCACGTAACTGAGTCATTTGCTTAAACCAAGTGGATTGATAGTCTTTCATAATTCAAAGGGCCACACCTCTCTGAAAATGCACTGAAAGATATATCATACACCATCACTAACACCACACTGTATTCCGGCCTCCACTAAACACCCATTTTTTTTAAATTTACAGTTGCAAATAATTCATGGAGCTACTTGTGATTTGTTTATTGACTCTCTCATAGGGATATATCTTTGCACTGTCATAATTTAAGGGTGTCCATACAGAATCCGCACACTTACAATTACACCTTAAATTAAGATTGTAGCTTAATTAATTATTTTTGTATATATTCCTTTTAATCTATCTTTGTCTGAATGATGAGACCTTTCCCGTTTTATTTTCTGCTCTAGTTAACTGTTACAGGTCTAATGATTGCATTTAAAGTAAAAAATTATAAATGAGGAAAACGTCCTGTAACACATCACTTGCTTTAAGGACACAGTATTTATGATATAGAGCCCACATTGCTGTGGTACATATTAGGCCTCCCTGTCCAAACACATCACATCCATTAAATCAAGCTTAAAAATTTTCCCTCCAAATTTTGTTGTAGATGCCTGATGCTTACAATCTATATGTTCTTTTTGCTGCATCTGATGAAGTGAAACTGGTAGTTTGCAACCATTAAAAGTATATTCTCTTCCAAAATGGAAAGGTAAACTCATGACCAAATTCAGTTCTATTTTTTTAATTAAAATATGCATTTTAATTGGCTTGAAAGTGGATTAGAATTACACTGAGATGTATTACCTCTCATCACAGAACAGAAATCTGCAAATTTAGGTGATTGCTTGGAAAGTTATAATAGCAAACTGTAAGATGGTTCACTATAAGTCATTATCATTATTTTCTCTGCATGGCTATTGTTTTTAGAATAACCTTTTGATGCATCTGGAAGATATCATCTGTAATATAGTAGGATCATAGCCAAAGCAGTGATTGTTTAAAAGTCAAAAGTGCCTAGAACCTGGTTGAGATCATTTGCTGTTCTATCAGGAGAGAAAAGTTTGTTTCCTAGCACTCATGTTGGGTGGCTCACAACAGCCTGTAACATTAGCTCCAGGGCATACACAGACATATCGACAAATAATCAAATAAATAAAAGAAAGAAAACCTCAGTTGTATCCCAAACAGAGTATAATGCATAATTTTGATCTTGAAAATGCCTAGATCTTGTATCTCTGTCATTTCATGGCACAACTTTTATTGCATCACTAGAATATCATTGGTGCTTCTACCAGCATATTTACTGTAGCTACTGTAAAATACCTGGGTACTTTATGAATGAAGAGGATGATTTAGCTCTAAGTTTCATAGAGCCACCTCATGGTTCTGAGTGAGGCATACTGCCTGCAGGACAGAATAGGAAGTGGAATAAAGATACGTGAATATAGATCAAAAGACAAGACAGGTAGCGAGAAACACTCAGAGGCCACATTATCTGTCTTATATAACAATTCACTTTTGAACAGACTGACTCAATCTATGAGAACAGCAGCAGCCTCTTCTGAGGGTGATACCAACAGTCATGTAACTATTCTTAGGCAGGTCATATGTCTTACAGGTCACCAATATCTCAATTTTGCCACCTTTGGGACTCTACATCCAACACATCCACCCTCAATGACAGACAACATTCAGATAACTTCAGGGCCTATCAATTTTACACTGTGGTGAAATACCAAAAAAAGATATTTCCTCCACTTTTCCACTATAGCATCATTGCTCAAGGTTAGATTTTTACTTATTTAGTTAGTTAATATTTTGACTTTCAAAAGAGATTTTGCTTCTATTGTTTTCTATCTATTATACAGAATACACACACACACACACACACATATCATGGATGGTCACGTTACTGCACCTTAAATTCAGTGTGCATGTTGAATGAAAGTCACATATTTCAGACTGGCTTGAAACTTTACCAGCCCCATCATGTCCTCTCTGATTGAACCACGTGGTGTGTACACTGTCTGGTTTCTCTGTTCTTTGTTCATGGTGTTGGGCTTGTTCATTTGCCTTGCTCTTTCACTGAAGTATTGATGGAACAAGAAATCAGTCAGTCCTATTCACCTCGGTCCCCATTTCAACATGTTGATCCCCGCACGGGGGGTGGGGGTGGGGGTGGTATTTGTGGTTATCTTTACTTTTGCTTGTCCTTTTTATGGACCATGCTAAGTTTGACCGCTAAAATTAAGATTAATTTACTATTGTATGGCCTCATTGTACAAAAGAGTTGGGATGATTTAGATATGTATAGAAAACCAAATGTGTAAAATGTAAATAAAGCCATGTGTCTGGTTATTCCATTAAATATTTGAAAACGTTTAACCCTTTGAGTATGAATATAGATGAAACATACAGTAAAGAAAAGAAAAGTGCTAAGCTTGTCTTCTTGCATCATGTTTTGTAGGATCTCGTCTTCGTCAAGAAGACTTTCCCCCCAGGATTGTAGAACACCCTTCTGACGTCATTGTCTCCAAGGGAGAGCCCACCACTCTGAACTGTAAGGCAGAGGGCCGGCCGACTCCCACCATTGAATGGTACAAGGATGGTGAGCGGGTGGAAACAGACAAGGATGACCCCAGGTCACACAGGATGCTTCTGCCCAGCGGATCCTTATTCTTTTTGCGAATTGTGCATGGGCGCAGAAGTAAACCAGATGAAGGGAGCTACGTTTGTGTCGCAAGGAACTATCTTGGTGAAGCAGTGAGTCGGAACGCATCTCTGGAAGTGGCATGTAAGTAAACACTGCAAGCTTTATCTGAACACTCATTCCACTTCACTTTAGTAAGTTTGCTTGTTTCTCACTGATGAGTAGAACTTATAGAGTAAAACAATTGAAATAATACACAACCATTGCTTCTGTGAAGAAATATGGTTAGAATGCTATCAGTATAGGGACTGCAACAATTTTATTTACATCAAATTAGTATAAGGTCCATGCTATTATATCAAAGCAGCAGGTAATACATGATGCTACTCTTATTGAAAATTTGAACTATTAATAAGATACATAATGGACTTGGACTTGTTGCTTATGTTAAAATAAAAAGTTCATGCATAATATGTCAGAAATGCAGACATAAAATCAATAATGCACCTGTTTTGGGTACATATATAAATATGTATACACACATATAGATGTATATATATATATATATATATATAATGCATATATAACCTCTAAATATTTTACAGGGTAACTTTTGAAGTGACACATTATCTTACTCTCTACATTACAGTATCTCCTTTTTCCTATAGAACAAATTCAGGAACAGTAGGTATAGAAGAGAGGACATGCCACCAACTATAATAATAACTATTTTTTTTTATAATAGACCTCATCAAAGAAGAGATAAGCATGCTGTTGCAGAGTTTCTGGTTTTTACTCAATCTTGATAGTCAACTAGATAGGAACTTCCTCTTTTGCACTTTTTGCTTTTTTTTTTCACCATTCCCACCAACAACAGAAATAAAAATATTAGTTCCTGGCTTCTATTAAAACACAGACTCCATTGACTTCATAGATGGTGTGTGATAGATTGTTTTGGGCATAGGAATTGGGATTGTGTTTTAAACAATATATTTTGCTAGTAGCTTATTGTTTTAAGAAAAAGTTTCTTCTGTAGTAAACTGTAAGATGACAGCAAATACTCATTTGTAGAGAAGGTCCTGGGAGGGTATTGAAAATAATAGGTCCTTCTGCTAACATCAGTACAGTCTGTGTGGTATCACAGCAGATTTTAACACTTACGCACAGTGAGTTGAAACTTGCAACAGTATGTCAGTATCTTTTGGTGATCAAATCAAACTATTTTCTATTTAACTGTCTTGGTAAAGCTCTTGCTCCCAAGCCCCCTGTCCTCTGATTTAGAGTTTCACTCCAGAAACCGTGAACTAAGTGATGTTGGAAATATGTAGCTCCAATAAAAAATGAGTGGGAGTTCTTAAAATCCACAGTTTATGTATGAAAAACATTGAAATGGAAACATTAAAACCTTTACTAATAATGCGATTTTTTTCCAACAAATACCAAATATTTTCTTCTTTTAAAAATAAAACACTTCAAAAAGTACTTAAATATAGTTTACTAGAATCTAAAATATAAAAACACAACTTTAAGAATATAAAGTTTCTGCCTATGTTTTCCATTAAAAATATTACTTCTCTGAAACTTTTGTGCATATTGAAATATTTCACTGCTAAATTCTATTGATTCAACCTTCCATATTTCTTGTAGTATGGCTGGGATTGTCCTACCATTATTTTTTAAGGAATTGGAGCCCATCAAGTCTAAATGATTAAGGTGTGGAAAATGAACAAGTGGGGATTTCAAGGGCAGGTCTTTACTCTTTTCACTTTTGCTCTTATGGGATTCTTCTGCACGTCTAGAACCCAGCAAATAAACAGACATTTTTAGATACACGAAAATGAAGAAGCTTTACTTTTTCCCATAACATTTCCTTTTTTCTACTCAGCAGCCAAGAAACATTTTACTATGACTAATTTCACTTCAACACATTAAATTTATCAAAATTGTCTGGTAATTTTTTTGTAGGAGAGAAATGAACATTTGTTCTTGAGTCTTAGATTTGTTAAAATGTTTGCTCCTCAAACACATGCGTCTTTTATTTCATCTGAAAGGATTATTTTCTCCCCTAATTAAATTATAAATAATAAATTTATTTTAAGAGAAAAATATTAAGGCAAGATTCTTTCCCATGTAATATAAAAGTTGCATTTTTTATTTAGAAATAAATGAACTTTAAAAAATGCTTGAATTACTTAAAAATCTCAAAAAGAAAAATCCAAAGGCTTCTGAATTGGATTTTCTAGTGAATAAAATTCTTTCTTTTAATTCCATGTCAACAGATCATGGCATTTGAAGCTACTGAAGATCAAATAATATTCATTTATTTGTTGTTAATCTTTTTCCATTAGCTTGCCATACTTCTCTATTTTCTTCTGCATGTTAGAACATACAATTGAAATGCTGAATACAGAAACACCCACTTTCCCCTCTATTAATGTGCTAAGGGACAGGAATAAAGACATTCCAATCTATTGTCAGAGATCAGAATGCCCTTCAGAGGACCAACATTTAAACATTTTATAATAGATGAAATAGAGAAGAAGTATAGCCCCTTAGAGGGACAAACAATAGATAATATGGGAACCCATAGAGGAGAATATTTAAATATTCCTGAATAAATAATATGGAGAAAGTGTCCTAAAAGGGGAAGTATCATTTGAGCTCTGATTTTAATATTTTGTGATGTCTTGAATGAAAAATGAAGCTGAACATCATCTTGCTACAGTGAATGGAAGCATTCTAGAGTATATGTACCTCCTAGGCTTCAGAGAGCTCAGAAGAAATAGGTTGGAAAAGTGGGATGTGCTGAATCACAGTCTCTCCACTTTTACATCATGTGCAAGGGGAGTCTCTGACACAGAGTGAGTGATTACATTTGTGGGGTGATGAATGAAGGTGAGAAGAGTTAAGCTTTCAAATAACCTAGAAAGGATTGATCTGGTTTATGACCAATTTTCAAGATGGTGTGGGTCTTTCAAATATTTTTGTGTTTTAGTCTCTGGGTCTGCAGGTTCCCCATTGGTAAAACTAGAATGTACAGAAGGAACAACTATGGTATGTCAATGAGGGTAACAAGGTTAAAATACTTAGTGTTCCATTATTTAAAAAAAAAAGCTTATGGAATTTAGAAAAGAAGTCATTTTGAAATGAAGGTTGAAGTCACAGAAGTAAGGAAAAGTAGAGGAGGATGCCCAGGTCGGCTGCCAACAGTGAACCGTTATGAAAGACCGAGTCCTTTGTCTTGGTTTTAGCAGTCGCTGATCATGGGAAGAAGAAAGAAATGTTGTAGGGGAGGCATGGTGGAGACTAGATTTCAGAGTGACAGGGAATGTGGTCATGCCAAGAAAAAAAAATATTTTCCAATAAAGTAAGTGGTAAGTAGACGTAGCCAATGGAGGGAGGGCACAGTGGGAGGAAACAGCTACTGCCTGGGTCACTGGAAGGAAGGGGAAATCCGGAGCAGAGCAGCGCAGCGCAGCATCAACACAACTGAGTGTGGATCCCACTGGCTCCTCTTCTACAATGAGCTTTGGCAGTGGCTCTGGCCTTTGCCCATAGTGTGGAAGGACTTCCTGTCAGCCCTCACGATAAGCCACTATGACTGCACACATGTATTGTGTAATGATTATTGATAAAACAGTATGGAAAATGTTTGATTTCCTTTACTTCACCTTGATTTTTGTTTTAAATGAGAAGTATTGTGTCTGCCATAGCATGGAAGTCAGAATTCTGTTGGTAGCTGTTAGCCATCTATCATGATTTTCTGTGTGGAAATCTGCTGTCTGTCCCTATACCATATTTTCTCGCTCCCTCCCTCCATCTCTCTATCTGTTTCTCTCTCTGTCTCCTCTCTCCCTTTCCTTCAGCAATGTAATAGGACAGTACAGAGAAAGAAACAGAAAAAAAAATCATGGCCAAGTATTGCCATGGAGAGTTGAGTCGCCCAATTATTGTTTTGTTATTGTTGTGTGTGTTTGTCTGTTTGTTTTTCTTTTCTTTTGAGCATGTTTAAGAGAAAAATAAGAGTAATTCAGAAAGTCCTTTCAACTCACTTGAATCTGAGGCAGGCCTTTAGGCAGAAAGTCATTTTAAATGGAAAGAAAACAGATTCACAAGGCGACCAGCAAGAGGTCTGCCACTCATGAAGTTAATAGGTGGTTTTCCAATGGGACCCCCGGGAGCTTCAGGCACAGAGGTGCATGAGGATAGGATTTCAGTTCCCAGCAAGTGCTGTGGTATACAGAGCAGGCGTTCAGGGGGCCTTTGCAGGGACCCAGCATAGCTGCATGAGGTGCAGCTGGCCTGGTGGCCTCAGGAGATGGCAGCTGTTGCCCCAGGTGGTATAAATATATGACAGCAGCTTGGTCTATCGACCAAGGGAAGAGGGGGTTCTGGGCTAGATGAAAATTCATGAAAAATTGATGCAGTCCTCAGATTATTTTTTCAGTTTCCCTGTCTCGACACTAGTGTGGAGGAGAAAGATTAAATGAGGTGATGAACATTTTAATGCCAGGAGGTTGTGGTTCAAAGTTCAGAGGGCACTGGAAACCAGTTTGTTGTTGTTGTTGTTGTTGTTTTGTTTTTTTCCCACTGCTTACTTTAAAGGCAAATATAGAACTTTCCAAATTACCTGTGTCTTTGTAATTTAAAAAAATGCAAGGTAAATCTATATATTCAAATGATGGCTTTGGTTTGATCCACGAGAGAAAACATACATGATTCCTAAATTCAGTTGGAGTATGAGTATGAATTCCATGAAGCAAGGTGTTTGCACTTTATTATTTCCTATTGCAATCTTCCCAGTAACCCCCCCCCCCCCCCCGTGTTCTCCATGTATCAAGACTAAGGCTACAGGAACATAATTCAGAAAAGGAAAGGGCTCTGCATTATTTATAGGTCACAGATTGCTAGAATAACAAAGCTGCAAGATACTCTACATGCACAATAGTCCTGTTTGTTTGAAATCTAAGACTAAATTGATATTTTATCTGTACAAGGAAGAGTGGGTATGTGAGTAGGTGGACTTTGTTGCGAGACGGCATAGGTTGCTTTGAGAATGAACACAAGGTAAATTGTTAACTTCAGTCCTTCAAGTTGGCAAGTATGCAGATTCTTATTGCTTGATTTTATTTTGATTATGGGAA